AATTAGACAGAGGTGTTAGACGGCAAGGGGGCAGTTTCGGAGCCCCTGCCCTCCTGGGTCGGGCTGGAACATTGCCCCTCCCCTCCTTCCCCGACCAGTGAGCCTCCTCCCAGGTGTGGTGCCCCACTGGCCTTCCTGGTGGCCACTTCCCCGGCCCTCTGGGTGTCCCTGCTGGGACCCCCTCGTCACCATCGCTGTCTGACTGGGTCTCCCCGCCCCCTCACCAGCGGAAGGCGCAGATCACGTGCACGGCCATCTTCATTGTGTGGGGAGTGCTGGTCCACCTGGTGATCCCGCCCTTCGTGTTCATGGTGACCGAGGAGTGGAACTACATCCAGGGCCTCTACTACTCCTTCATCACCATCTCCACCATCGGCTTCGGCGACTTCGTGGCTGGTGAGTCCTGCCCCGCCCACCCCCTGCCTCTGCCTCCCCTCCCTCCCTCTCTGCTTCTCTCTCTGCTTCTCCAATATCCATTCAGCTGACCTTCATGGGGAGCCCCGGTGGGCATTTGTGTCCAGGCCACTTCCTCCACCCAGTGGGGTCCTAGCCCTACCCTGCTAGTTGCAAGAGGCAAGCAAGGCTCAGAGTCATTGCCGGAGACACCCACTTCCCTTTCCTGGGACGAGGCTTCCTCCTCTCCACTCTCTGTGTTTAACATCTGGTCTCTTCCCAGCAGGTTGGGCGCTGGGAAAGGCAAGTGCGTGTCCATCTCCCAAGCTTAGGGGCACTCGGTAGGGGTGGGCCTTCCGCCTGCAGGTCTGCCTGTTGCCCAGGCCCCTCGCTGTCACAGCTGTCATCCTTCATAGGAGCCGAGAGAGCAGTCCCAGGGGCTTGGCTCAGGGGCCCGAAACTTGCTCTCTCCACAGGCAGCTTAAACACAAGAGAGGCTTTCTCCCAGGCTGCTGGGGCCCGGGCACTCCCTCCCGCCCTTATCTTCCTACGTAATCCGGGCGGGAGATAAGGTTCTTTGGCCCCTTTGTCTGGCCACTCGGTCACTCTAGTACTTGTGCCTGCGGCCTGCCCAGCATCCTGGTTCTTAATCTTCTTGACGCCATGTTTGTTCCCCCAAAGCCTGCTGCCCTGCCCAGTCGACCTCAGCCTCTGCTCCAGGGGCAGGGGCAGGTCACCACCCTCTGCCCCATTGTAAGTGGAGACTCGGAATGCTGGCAGGGGGTGGCTGCGCGGGGGAGGAGCAGGAAAGAGAGGCCTGGACCTGGACACTCCTCTGACCTGGCAGAGCTGGGCCTGCTGTTTCGGGAGATAAATTTAGACAAAGGCACAGTCCTGCCATGTGCAGCCGCTGGGGCCCGGCACAGGTGAGGGAGAAACCTGTGCTGCAGAAGCACGGGAGGGTATCGGAGCACTTTCTCACTCCAGGAAGACACTAACCTCTGCCTCAGTGTCCTCATCTGTAAAACGGGTTAACAAAACCAAAACAGCCGGCCGGCGTGGCTCAATGGTTGCGCGTCAACCTATGAACCAGGAGGTCACAGTTCAATTCCCAGTGAGGGCACATGCCCAGGTTGCAGGCTTGATCCCCAGCAGGGGGCGTGCAGGAGGCAGCCGATGGATGATTCTTTTTCATTGCTCTCCCTTCCTCTCTGAGATCAATAAAAATGTATATTAAAAACAAAACAAAACAAGCCCTAACCAGTTTGGCTCAGTGGATAGAGCATCGGCCTGCGGACTGAAAGGTCCCAGGTTCGATTCCAGTCAAGGGCATGTACCTTGGTTGCAGGCACATCCCCAGTAGGAGATGTGTAGGAGGCAGCTGATCGATGTTTCTCTCTCATCGATGTTTCTAATTCTCTATTCCTCTCCCTTCCTCTCTGTAAAAAATCAATAAAATATATTTAAAAAACAAAAAAAAAAACAAAACTAAAAGCGCCTACCTCCCAGGGTGGTGGAGCTAAAATGAGTTACTGTCCTCCAGCGCTGAGCGCGGGCCCGGCTCTGAGTGTGTGCCCTGGCTGTCCTCACACCTGCTGGTGCCCAAGACCTGAGTGAGATTAGCAGCACCTCATAGCCCTCGGCCCAACCACCAGCCTCATTTCCATTAAACTAGTCTGAGCTGCCTCACAATTCCCATCCTAGTTTTAGCTGAACTGTAACAAATACACCAAAAAAGTACACAACGCAGGTAGGTGTAGGGGTGGCTAACTGAAAGGCCAACGTTCTGGACTGCCCCTGCCCTGTGCTGGCTCCAGCACCAGCCTCCCCACCCGCCCTCTCCCTCCAGCCGCCCTTGCCCAGCGAACCACTCTCCTGGCGGCTGGCAGTGGAGGAAACAGGCTCAGGCAGGCGCCTGGGGCAGGCCAGCTTCTAGCTCCGGCCTCCTGCCTTTCTCACGCGCCCCCTTGTGCTCTGGCGCTGTGCCCACTCTCAGAGGCTGTGGCCTTGGAGGGTCCCCGGGCCCCACACACCCTCTCCTGACCCTCTGGGCTTCCTGCTCTGTCCTCAGGTGTGAACCCCAGCGCCAACTACCATGCCCTGTACCGCTACTTCGTGGAGCTCTGGATCTACCTGGGGCTGGCCTGGCTGTCCCTCTTCGTCAACTGGAAGGTGAGCATGTTCGTGGAGGTTCACAAGGCCATCAAGAAGCGGCGGCGGCGGCGGAAGGAGTCCTTCGAGAGCTCCCCGCACTCCAAAAAGGCTCTGCAGATGACGGGCGGCACCGCCTCCAAGGACGTCAACATCTTCAGCTTCCTGTCCAAGAAGGAGGAGACCTACAACGACCTCATCAAGCAGATTGGGAAGAAGGCGATGAAGACAAGCGGGGGTGGGGAGAGGAGCCCGGGGACGGGGCCCAGAACTGGACCTGGACCGGGACCGGGACCAGGACTGGGACCAGGCCCGGGGCCTCAGGGGGATGGGCTGTCAGGCGTCCCCGCCTCCCTGGCCCCCCTGGTGTTCTACTCCAAGAACCGGGTGCCCAGCTTGGAAGAGGTGTCTCAGACGCTAAGGAGCAAAGGCCATGTGTCGCGGGCCCCCAGTGAGGAGGCTGGGGCCGGGCCCCCCGAAGGCGGCTCCCCCACCTCCGAGGTGTTCATCAACCAGCTGGACCGCATCAGCGAGGAGGGCGAGCCGTGGGACGCCCAGGACTACCACCCGCTCATCTTCCAGAACCCCAACATCACCTTCGTGAACGAGGAGACCGGCCTCTTGGACGAGGAGACGTCCAAGTCCTCGCTGGAGGACAACCTGGCCGGCGAGGAGCGGCCCCAGGAAGAGGCGGAGGCCCAGGCGCCCCTGACCTTGGGCGAGTTCCCCTCCTCGGACGAGTCCACCTTCACCAGCACCGAGTCGGAGTTCTCTGTGCCTTACGAACAGCTGATGAACGAGTACAACAAGGCCGACTGCCCCAGGGGCACGTGAGGGGGGGCCGGCCCCCCACTCCACCTTTGATGGCGTCCGTTACCTTCCTCCTGGGCCTTCCTGCCGAGCCTGGGACCCCCGGAACTGGGAGTGGGGGGCCAGGGGCCTTTCTCGCCTGCCTTCCCCTCCAGCTAGCTGCTGCCTGCCAAGCGTGGCGCCCAGGACAGGGCCTCTGTTCGGCTGAGCGGCACCCTGGCGGTGGGAGGCGTCTGTCCTGAGCACACCTGGTTTATTCGATGGCTCAGGCACGGGTGGGCTGGCAGGACTAACCCCCAGGAGGCCTGCACGGCGTGGGCCTTCACCCATCATGCGGTTGAGAATGTCACACGGTTCTCTTAGGGCGGGCCGAGGCCACTTGAGCGTACCAGTATTAATGAGCTTGTGTGCTCCGCACTGACCTGGCATTTCGGAGAGAGGGTGGGCCCTGCCTTTGCAGGAGGTATAGCTGAGGGGTGGGGTCTGGGCGCTCCAGGCCTCTGCAGGAGCAGGGCCCTGCCTGGGGCAAGAATTTACGCCCCCCCCCCCATCCCCCTGTCTGCCTGTCTGGCCCCTCTGCAAACTGTGGGGCAGAGACCGCCTCGGGGAGGGAGCGAAGAGATAAACACTCCTGATGTGGGAGCAAGTCCCATGCGGGCTGAGGTCCTAGATCTTGATGATTTTGATGATTCACTGGGGACTGTGCCCCACTGGGAGACCAGTCCCTGTCTCAGACGGTAGATGCGGGCTTTCTGCCTCCAGGGAAGTGGTGGGAGGAAGCGAAGGGGCAGGCCACGGCCTCGGCCACGGGCTGGGCTCCTGGAGCTGGTGAGCAGGGAGCTGCAGGAGCCAGCTCAGCTCTGCCCCCCTTCCGTCTCCCTGTGCCCAGAACAAGGACCTCGCTGCTCCCCAGGTTGCTCTTGGCTCAGCAGTGGGAATGGCCAAATATGTGAATCAAGCTCCTCCCTCCAGCATGCCTGTGCGTGTGCGTGTGCGTGTGCGTGCGTGCGTGCGTGTGTGTGTGTGTGTGTGTGTGTGTGTGTGAGAAGGATGTGATGGGGGAGCTAAAGATAATGTGAAACCACGCAGACTGTTTCTGATGGGGCTGGCAGGGTTCCTAGGTTCTCCATGGTGGACACTGGGGCCGGCCCACTGCCCTGCATGGTTTGCTATTTTTTACATAAACTGCTGTTTTTATATCCCTGGCATCTGTCGTTGGTGTTAGAGCCGAAGGAGAGAGAAGGAGAAAGAGCAGGGTCCCAAGGATTGGGATGTTCAGTGTTCCCCCTCCAAGCCCCTAACTCAATTGGGCCTTCCTTGGTGACCTCAGCCAAGGTCATGAGTCCCCACACAGGGTGGGGGCGGGGAGGGGAGCACTGAGCAGAGTTGGGGAGGGCACCCGTCATGGCCGATGGATGCCCGGCAGGAGGTGAGTGATCACCCTTGACCCCAACACCCTCTCTGCCTCTCAGCCCCTTCTCTAATACTGTAGGACCACACAGGGTCAGAACCTAACATGTGAAGACAGCGATGGACACGTGTGTCCACACCCCCACCCATCCTGTAGCTGAGGGGTGTGCTGGCTGGCAGTGGGGTGAGAAGGAGCGCCCTGTTTTTCTGTGAAATGTTTTAATATGTCTTCATTTCCTCACCCCACCTTGCTGGGGTGTCACTGGCTGACCTGGAATCACACACACTGTATATACGTACCGGCAATGATGTCAGATGTAATTTATTTTAACATTTTTACAATAAAACATGCGATGGACAGTCCAGCCTGGTTTGTGCTGTGGTGGGGGAGGGGCGTGGAGGGAGGGGCAAGGTGGCCGGGGCAGTCTGGGAAGATGGGGAAGGGCTGAGGACACCCTCAGGGTCACGAGGGGACTTGGGGGATCTGGAGGGAGAAAAAGTGAAAGGTAGGCAATGGGGAAGAACAGGCTACCTACGATGCGGCGGGCAGAGCACACCCTTGGAGGAGGTGACAGCTGGCAGGTCTGAGTGGGGACAGGGAAGGGCTCCAAGAACAGGACGGAGCCGGAGACAGGGAGCTGGGGGTGATGAGACAGTCTGCCCAGCACTGTCCTACAGGCTCTGACTCGGTCGTATGTGCATGAACTCGTTTGATCTTGCAACAGCTAGAGAGGTGGGTGTTGCATCCCCATTTTACAGGCGAGGAAACAGGCCCTGAAGGTGCTTGTGCAAGATCTGGACAGGTGGGGAGCCTGGGTTCAACCCACGCAGCCGGCTCGGGTCACTGAGGTCGGCACCTTCTATGACAATTCCGGGGCTTTCTTCCCAACACCACACAGGACAGCTTCAGTTTTGAGTCTGTTGGAAAAACATGAAAAGTTTTGTGATTTCAGGAGTGAGCCACATTTTTCATGAGGTTGTAGATGTGTTTTCCAAGGATCATTGTTTAAAATACCAACCAATTCTTTTTTTTTTTTTTTAATATATTTTATTGATTTTTTACAGAGAGGAAGGGAGAGGGATAGAGAGTTAGAAACATCAATGAGAGAGAAACATCGATCAGCTGCCTCCTGCACACTCCCCACTGGGGATGTGCCCGCAACCAGGGTACATGCCCTTGACCGGAATCGAACCTGGGACTCTTGAGTCCACAGGCCGACGCTCTATCCGCTGAGCCAAACCGGTTAGGGCATTCTTAACTACTTTATATCATCCTTCCTTCTGCCCAAATACCTCCACCTCTCCCCCACCACCCCCCTCTCTCTCCTTTGTAACTTCGCTGCACTATGCACTACCTTTCTTTTGCACTTGCCCATTTCACCAAGTCCTTTGACAAATACAGCTCTGTGTGTACTTCCCTGTGGCTCAGGTTACTCAGCCCCATTCGCAGTTACGGAAGTGACTCCTGGGGCACAGCTTCACGGAATTGTGCTCACGGGTGGTAAGGCCCAAACGGGGGGTTGGGGTGGAGGTGTGGTCTTGCCACGGCGGCTAAGATTAGATGGGAGCTTTCTGAGCAAAAGGTCTGGAAAAGGGAGCAACAGCAGCCGGAGCAGAGGGTGTGGGCTGCGAGGCACCCCGAGTTCCTGAGGGGTCCATAGCATAGGAGGGTCCCCTGCATGTCGCAGAGCTGTCAGGGATGGAAGGTGATTTAGGAGTCAAGGGAGAGGACCCTGGTGGGGGACTCCCTCTACTGCCTCCAGATTCATAACTGGTCAGTGGGATCAGGGTAAGAGGCCTGCAGGCTCATGGGTACATTGTTCAACCCCAGAGGTCCATGGGGCTCTGAGGCAGACATCCCCACTCCAGCAGGCCAGCTCCCAGCAGCTTCCTGGCTCCTGGCCCTCCCTGCTACATCCCAGCAGCTTCCCTGCCCTCGTAGTGAACTGACACCCTGCTCTCCACAGTCATCACCCCATTCATTTCTTTAAAGAATGTTCACTGAGCACCTACTATGTACCAGGCTCTGCTCTGGGCACTTGGAAAACAGAGGTGTAAAATGGACAAAGACCCCTGCATTCGTGGAGCTTCTGGTCTGGTTCCCTTTGCTCTCACTTCTGGCCATTTTTCATGGTTTGTGCTTGGTATTTATATCCTGTCCATATTTCTCAAGGATCTTTCAATCTTCTCCATTTTGTATTTTAATCCTCACACCAGGTATTATTATTATTATTATTATTACTGCAAATTCAAACTATTAAGCAGCAGCAAAACAGCTTTCCTGACTTGCATTACCATTCCTCATGCCGCCTCCCAGAAGTTCCTAATCTGAGGGGGGAGACACCCTCAGAACCCACAGTCTGATGGAGGACACAGTTCCCACCCTCTGAGTCTGCAGGCTGAGGGGGTGCAGAGCACAGAAACAGAGAAGCACAAGCTGTGTCCCAGCTGGGCTTCCGCCTTCCCTGTGGTCCTGGAGGAGTCACTTCGCTCCCTGCCAGGACTGGGGAAGTCCTGGGTTTCACCCCCTGACTGGCGAGGGCCAGTGCTGGCATCCTCAGCCCAACTGGGGGGCAGTGAGGGGGCAGGAAGAGGAGGCAGAGCTTCGCCGCTGTGGGCCCCTGAAGTGTGGGCTCGGCCCTGCCAATCAGCGCTCCACCCCTGAAATAATCGGTCCCCAGTTTCCAAATTCATTCACAACTGGTCCAGGAAGCGGATGCCATTTTGGGACCTGCCAGGATGTGTTTGTGTAACAGTGAGAGTGGTTCGATGTCTCTCCCCCAGCCCAGAGCACCTCCCACAGGGAGCCTGCCGCCTCTGTGCCATTTCCTGCTCCTGTCTCCAGGCCTCACACCCCGCCCTCCTGGGAGCCCAGAGAGAAAGGGACATGGCTGGCTCACCTTTGGATCCCCACCTCTGGGCCTGGCTTGGAGGGAGGCTCAGCTGTTCTGCGTTTACCGAATGGAGGTGAATGAGCCTGAGGCCTGAGCTCTTGCTGGTGATTCAGTCCCTCTCTTCCCAGGGCAGAGGCCAAATCCACAGGGCTTGTTCCACGAGGGCAAGTTCCAGCAAAGCCGGGTGGATGTTGTTAAGGGGCCTTGTCGCAGGCTGCAGTGGCTTGATGAGTCACCTAATTTCGCTAAGTCACCTGAACGTGGTGGGCAGGACAGGGACACAGCACACCTTATTTCTCCACGCCCCAGAAAGTACCTCTGACACACCCCTTTCGTGTTTCCCCACACCTCTGTCCTCACCTCTCACCATCCCAGTGGCCCCCAGTCCCCTGGGGGGTGGGATTTCCCTCCCCACCCCTACCCCCCGCCAGTGGCCCCTAGTCTCCATGCTTCCCTCTGGGTACCTGTGCTCAAAGTGGCCACTCACCTCAGCTCCCAGGGGCCAGCTTACAAAGCCTTTTCACATCCATTCCCAGATTACTCCACAGCCCAGGGAGCCATTTTACAGCCCTGTTAAGGGGCTTTTTTCTTTTTCTTTTAAAAAATAAATAAATATATGTTGTTGTTGTTGTTCTTGTTATTATTATTATTATTATTATTATTTCAGAGATGAAGGGAGGAAGAGAGATAGAAACATCAACAATGAGAGAGAATCATTGATCTGGGGCTTCCTGCACGCCCCACACTGGGGATCGAGCCCGTAACCCACCCAGGCATGCGCTCTGACCAGGAATTGAACTGTGATCTCTTGGTTCATGGGTCGATGCTCAACCACTGAGCCACGCTGGCCGGGCAAGGGGCTTTTTGCAAACAAAGAAACGGGGTGTCTTGGTTTGGTTTCTCAGGAAAGGAAGGCCTGAGACCAGAACTGGGAATGTTTGGAGGAAGTAGCAGAAGGGGAGAGAGAGAAAGATGGGCAAAGAGCAGCAGGCAGTTAAGGGGCATTGTTGAGCTGGTCCACTGTGGGCATCTGGGCCCAGTCCTGCTGGCGGTCCCCTAAAAAACCTGCTGCTATAGGACAGGGCTGTCCCTCTGAGGGACAGAACCCTGCATTTACCCACCAGTTCCCACCTCACTGGTTAGGGGCACAATCCCCTCCTTCCTCCCACCCGGGCTGCCTGTGACCGACCGTGTTGTCAATAACCACGATAGTATTTCCCACCCCACATTCTGGTCAGCAGAGTGACCGGTCAGTCCCTCAGCTAGCGATGGAGTCTGTTCCCCTGTGTGTGGCCGGCCCTGGGACTGTTTGGGGCAACAGAATAATGTGCAAGTGACCTTCTGTGCATCACGAAGGCCCGGCGGCTTCTGCTTTTCTGTTCTCGGAGCAGCCAGCCACATGCAGGAAACCCTTGCTGTGAAGAAGCAAACCAGCCTCGGGCAGGAGCCACGGGAGAGAGGACGTGCAGCCAGGGCGCCATCCGGGATGCCGGGCCCAGCCATCTCCGCCACAGTCGGGCTTGGTGTCCTGCTAAACCTCTACATTCTGTGCTGTTTTGTTAAGCAGCGAGAGAGAATGGGACACTGGCTGGGCTCGCCCTGAGCTCAGCGACCTTCTGCCGGGTTTTGGAGGAAGCTCTGAGGTGGACTAGCAGAGAGGCACCGAGGCACTCCAGCAGGAGTCGGCAGCACGCCTGCACGCGTGGGCTGTCCACATGGCCACACTGATGTCCAAAGAGGACCGAGGGATTGGGCATGAGCGCAAACAGCATTCACTGCCCTGACACTCAAACTCTCTGAAGAGACAGAGTTGAGACCAAATGCCATCAGGTCTTCTGACTCCTTCCACAAGATCCAAGTTTTTCACCTTCGAGACATCAAAATCCCTTCGACTCTGGGGTCTCAAGTCCTCTGCTGTTTAAACAGTGCTGGAGGCCTGGGGCGTGCTGCCATCTAGCTACGTGCCTACATAGCCACGCCTGCCACTGGCCAGGACACGCTATGCCCACGATCTCATTTAATCCCCCCACGCTGAGCTCAGTGTCATGATCCCCATGGGGAAGCTGAGGCTCTGAGTGGTCATGTAACTTGCCCAAAGCCACACAGTGAGAAGCAGAGCCTGGGTTCTAACCGAGAACCCAGAGCCTGTACTAGCCTGGACTATGAGCGATCATACGCGCCTGTGCTATGGAACAGAGAGAGCTTGTGCACCTGCAGCAGCAGGGCCAAACTCTGCACACGAGAACTGCAGTGGAGAAACGCTGGCTATTCCATTAGCTAACACTCCAAAGCCCAACCTCCCTGATGGGGAGGAGGCTACAGTTCTGTAGGGCAACGGCACAACACCGTGGGTTGGGGTTCAGGCGGTGCTGGGAGCTGCCTGGTCGGAGGTGAGGTGAGGGTGTGGATCTTGCTTCAGGTCTGGGGGACAGCTCTGAGGTCTCTTCGGGTCTCTCGGTCCGGTCTCATGGGAGAGTAGCCAGGGGGTCATTCGACCTTAGGGCTCAGAACTGAAACATAACTTAGGTCAAGACGTTATCTTTTGCCCGGCCGCTGCGGTTGAGTGGATTGAGGGTCATCCCACGGACCAAGAGGTACCGGGTTCGATTCCCAGCCAGGGCACATGCTCAGGTTATAAGCTCAATCCCCAATAGGAGCATGCAAGAGGAAGCTGATTGATGTTTCTCTCTCTCTCATCGGTGTTTCTCTCTCCCTCTCTCTTTATCTAAAAACCAATAAAAACATATTTAAGAAGATGTTCTCTTTCGCCTGCCCGAGGTCCTGACATTGTGGCCATTAGTCAGGTCCGGGCTACTGTCTTCTGCTGCCTCGGGAATTGCTAATTATCCCGGGGAAAGGCTAGGTCTCTGAGGGGTATATGTATTTACATATTTATATAGAGAGATGATTTCTAGAGCTAGGATTTCAAGCTAAATTTAATCACAGTCGTAAGGACCCCGGGTTTCACCTGCCGGAGCAAGGCTCTCCTGCTCGAGGCCGCAGGCACCACCTGAGCTTTCTGTGTGACTTTGGCCACATTCCAGCCACTCCTCATCTGGAAGACCAGTGAGGTGAACCAATCGCCGGATCCCAGCCCTGCGGTGACTACCCACGAATCAGAGGGGGATTCCTGGGCACCACCTCCGAAATTCTGATTCAACAGGTCTGGAGCAAAACCCAGAAACTCCCAGGTTCCGGGGAATACCTGGCTGGGGATCTCGGAACTCGGGTCCCCGTGTTTACCTCCAGTTACAGTAAACTTCCTCCTCGTTCGTGCTTTCCTTCACTTGACCCCTGGCCAGCGGAGCTGCTCTGTGTGGTGCTGGCGTCACACCCTATTCAGTGCAAATGGCCTGTATTTGAGGAGTGTCTCTCAGGTTGCCCAGAACACCTGATGTTGGTGACTGAGGAGGAAGAAACATGAAGAACAATTACCAATGAGGCGGTCAGGCCTTCATCTCTGTCTCTCCACCCGCCGGGCTCCCACCCTCAGCAGTTCACTCCAGCGAGATGGTTCCGACCTGTGGTTTGGAGCCCGTTTGGACCAGCTCATGAGAGCCAACGATTCAAGTTTCAGAAATTGTACAAGCTGGTTGCATTAAAAATTAAATCATATAAACATACAATTAAATTGCATTAAGCACAAAGGTGGTAAATACTCAAAACTCATCATTTCCTAATTATTCTATATGTTACTATTTCCCGTGCTTTTGAGGACATTATACCTATTCTAGGCCTACGGTGGAAATATTACACGATGGAATGCTACTACTGCATCTCTCCCCCTAACTTCGCATTTGGGGACATCATGTTGGTAGCTTAACATCAGCCATGATGACAGCATTTACACCACAGAAATGATGAGCACCACGAGTTAGGCTTCTCTCCTCCCCCCGAGAGCCAGATGCTAAACATGGGCCAGAACATCACCGCACTGACCTTCCAGACTGGCAGTGGGGCCTGAGTGGGTGGGGCAGCGAGGTCTTGCCCAGCTTGGAAAGGAGACACAGTGTCTGGGTTTCAGGGGGAATGTATTTAATGAAGTTTTTACTTGCAAACTCTCTTGAGCCCCTCGGATCAGTGTTGACTTGGGGTGAGGATTCAAGGCCCGTGGGAGCTGCCTTTGAGGGGAATAAGTGTGCAGGTTACACGGGTACCTGCTCACATGTGTCCATGGAAGCTCTTGGGTCATTCTCCAAAGTGGAGGCAGAGGGGGACCGCAGGCTTGTGTAGAAGGCATTTCTGCCTTCAGCTGGAGTTCTCGGACCACACAAAGCCTCGTCCACTCTGCCCACCCGCACTGTGGCTTCAGCTAGGCCCCCACCCTTCTGGGTGTTCTTACAACCAAAGGGGAGACCTCTTGGCAACCACAGTCTGGAAACTGGATCAGGGCGATTGGGTGGGTTGGGAATCCAGGATTGCAAGGATCAAATTTCTGAGCAAAACACCTGCTGACACAGGCTCCTATGCCTGACATGAGTCAACACTGGAGGGAGTCTAAGGCCTTCCAGAATTTCCCCACCCCCATGGCCCATTGCAAGGATCAAATTTCTGAGCAAAACACCTGCTGACACACAGGCTCCTATGCCTGACACTGGAGGGAGTCTAAGGCCTTCCAGAATTTCCCCACCCCCAGCGCAGGGGAGGAGGCGACTCCACACGGGACGTCCATCCACGGCCTGAGCCAGAAGTGATGCTGGAGAGGCAGCGTCCCTCAGCACCACCTCAGCATCCTCCCCAAAGCTGTCTGCAGTGAGTCGACCACAGTAAGGCCCTCCCCTCAGGGCAGCCATTGTCCCGCACACCGGGATGATGTCTGGGCTTGAGAGCCACTGGTCATGCTGATCTCTAGCAAACATAACTTTTTATTGACCGCTTGCTGTGACAGGCTCTGTGCTGGGCGCTTTACAAGGGGACTCGGGGCGAAGTGTTTCTCTGTTCATTTTCTTCCATTCTCATCCTCTCTGTGTGTGTTCGTAGCAGAAGGTGGAAGAAGAGGTCACGTGGGGTTTGCCCTGGGGATCCTTAACGACCCACACAGAACCGCAGTGTTAGTGCAGGTTCTCCAAGAAGCAGATGCCATGGCTGGATTCAGCCAGAAAAGATTGTATTAGGGGAAGCAGCTGGGAGAGGTTGGGAGCGCCATTTGACCACGATGCAAGTCCGATCCTGGGTGATGGGGCAGGTAGGTGTGTGCATGTGTGAATGTGAGCAGCATTAGGCCAGAGAGAGAGGGAGAGGGACCGAGGGAAACAGAGGTTCAGAAAGATGCAGACTGAGAGAGAAGAATAAACATCAGAGAAGACACCTTTCTGGCCCCTGGCCTCTCTCTGCAAGGAGTTGCTGGTCTCACCTCTGGATTTCCTTGAGGTAACCTGCTGAATCCTGGCCACAAACTGCTTTCCTTGAGCTAAAGTGGTCCCTGATTCTTACCATGGCAAGAGCCCTCACAGTAGCACCCCCAATTCTCAACCCCAAGACATTAGTTAATGAAGAGTCATTACTTCGTGCCCCTCGACTGGCTGACTGGGCTCTACACTGACCTAGAAAGACCTTCTT